CGAATGGTATTTGGGAGGAACCCTATCGAGGGAGGAACCCTCGATAGATAAACTGATCACACTGCACAGGTTGCGCTGGCTTGGCCACGTGTTGCGTGTGCCGAACGACCGACCTCCTCGCACAACCACGTGAAGCGTAGAAACGAGCCAGAGGCAGTCAAACAATGATATGGCAGCGAAGTATGAAAGCCATTACCAGCAAACTCAGCTGCGCTGGTAATTGCCGTCTTCCCGGATGGCGACCCCGAGATGGGTCACATCAATAGCTAGATGCATTGTCCGGCATGGCCCAGTTGAACTGTCAGTGGCGCTCGTGCATCCAAGCTATTGCCTTCAATGTATAGCTCCCTTCCTAATGCCCCCACTTGAAAGATCCCTTTCCAATTTCCACGCTTAACAGTCCGCTAAGAGTACGAACCAATTTATCATCTCCGGCCTCCAATGCGCAGTTACCTACCCCACTTCCCCACATCATCAGTGAACGAAACTGTGGCAGCCAAACCACTTAACGGCAAGTACGCGGTTCTTACAGCTGACCATGATGATGATGCTTGAACATTCTGCCACAGCATGGGTGAATACCATGGGATATTATAAGTTGGGCCGCAACGCACTTCAACAAACTTGGACGTTTCATGAGGAACATAACGAGCGACGAGTCAATAAGTATTTTTCAAGAGTATCTGCTAAAAACGCCTCCTGATTAAATATTCTTCCGGATATCACAGTTTAGTTACAAATGAACACGAGATTCAATCACCCGTTCAATGCGTCTCAAAAACGTATAAACTGATCAGCTGCTGATGGGGTCGAGGCTGCAAAATCCAGTCACGAATCCCCGAATCTCCCACCTAGGTTTGGGTTAAGTGACACTCTGAGTAATCGTCTACCCTTTTGGCTCAACGATGTTACTCTATAGATACCGCAACTGAATAATTTTCCTATTAATCAAACACGGCTTTAAGGATGTGGGTCCCTGATCAGATGTACGACTTTGGGTACCTGTTCGGTCATTGTTGTCCGGGCTGGAGTAAGATGACAAAATCCCAGCTGTCCTCATTGGACTGGTCTACATGTCATCAAATTTCCTATGCCGAAAGGCTGTCAAGTTTGAACTGTTCGGTTTTCTGTAGGAAAAATGCTACCCCAGTTCTGACCGTGAAGTCCGGACTGTAAGATTTAAAAAAACAAACTACAATAGCCACTGTGTATTGCTATCATGCCGCGTAAAATTTAACTGAAGCCGTTTCACGTTTCTCGGAACAGCGACCATGTTGTTTGAACCGCGTGAAATTTTCAGGCTACATGGCAGAACTGACCGCGGTCAGTCATATTACTACTATCTTTCATTGGTGAAATAACATCCATTTGTCTAAGGTTTCAGAATGAAGGATCCTGGCGTCTTTGGCCTCACTTATATGACAGCCGACAATATGGGAGTTGCACTGTCCATATGACAGCTTTCGAAATACGTCCTTCCTTCTTCTTACCTAGGACGACAGGCATCACCAACTGCTCATAACAAACACTGTGAGACTTACATCCCATTTGCATGATATTTATCGAATGATGACTAAAGTGGCTTTTGCTCGTAGACAGTAGGCTAGTATTTACAGGTGAAAGATCGTCTTAACGGAGCAGACTATTGCTAAAAACTCAACAGTCTGCGATCGGTTTCGTCCTTCTTGGAGCTCATAAGCTGTGCGCAGTCCCCGACTTTCCGTCAACCTTTTTTTCTACTTGACGGAATACACGTACGTGAAACTCGTTAGATTCCGGGTCACCTGCTTGGCCGGGCTTGTTTGGATACCTGAACTGACCGCAACAAACGAAATATCGCCAAATGATGACATCATTGAACGAGAAGGAATTCCGCCGCAGCCTTCTGACACTCCCGGGAGAAAAATGCGGACACAGCTAAGGCGCAAGGTTGCCACCATCGCATTAGTTGTGGTCTCATGTGGTTACTGATGCTTCTGTGAATCACAGAAGACCGATCAATTAAACGGCGTCGAATGATGAAAGAACCGAATCGGTGCACACTGTAGTTAGTAACCGTTTTTTGTATCTCCTAAACTAGGAGTACTGGGAGATTTACTTGCATAAACGTTCTAAGAATTGCAGTCTTATTATTTGCGCCACCAAAAATTTCTAATTGAAAAGGACCGTCGTCTTGGGTTCGATGTGACAGCGTGGACATACGATAAATATCTGCATTACATACACATGAAACAATAAGAAAGCTTTACAAACATCGAGTAATTCTGGGGGCATCGCCCGATTTCGAATCATCCCCTATCGTCACCAGAGTATGTATTATCTGCACTACTAGAGTTCGTGTAAGCACTAATCATAAACGACAGATTCAGCCATGATTCAGTTGCGTCTCCCGTTGTCCACCCTGAAATACTTGAGAAGCCTGATTAAGAGTAACCTGTTTAAATTTGACCTCTTTACAGAGGACCTAAGGGTGCATTGTCTCTCCCAGAGTGGTCACTTCAAAAGACTAACCGAAAGGGACCACTTCTGTGAGTTGATCGCTTTTGGAAAGAACTTTACAGATGAAAGAAGTCCAAAGGATCACTCAAAGTTTGACTTTCACGCGTAGTCATTTTTGACAGGGAATAAACTGTCTTAGAGGTAAACAGACCTTTGGATTTTAGGTCAACAAAGATAATTTCCCATGGGTGCATACGTACACAGTACGTTTTGCCGAACATCAGGTGATATGCGAAAATTCGTCTGGTTTTAAAGAATTCATCGGCATCTCCATCCACTTACATTTCGACCATGTTTGGGGAACACAGTTCTTCGACAGAAAAGGACGCCAGGCAATCTGTTGATCAATCATTATATAGGTGACTATTTCAAAAATGACTCCCACGAAATCAGGAAGGACTGAACAATAACAGTTGGTGAATAAAGTGAGTGTTGCACTAAGACTGCGCAATAATCCAACAGGCTAGTCTGTGACAAAACGCTGTTTTAATCCCATATATGCGCAATAAAGTCTAAACTTGTCCATCAGATGACGCTGCTTGACGGGGGAAATCCTGACAGACGTTAATCGATCGACACAACCAGGACAATCACGTCACACAAACGTGACAACTCGGGTACATCTTCGCGGAATAGTGGGAACACGCTCGCCTCGCACTTCACGGATGTCCAGAGCTCACACTCGAGCATGCACTGACGAGCTCTTGTAAGGATAAAACGTGAGCCCAGTGCTTACTCTTTGGTGTGGACTCACGAGGACAATCAACCTAGGACAGGAAGACTAAAAATTGGAGTGTTGGGAAAATAGATGCAAACAATACAGTTCTTAGGAAACCAGAACTACCTCTGATAGGATCGTGCGCAAGCTTCACCTCAAACGAGGGTGGCAAGCGCTATTCCAGTCAGTGGTGAAGTGATGGTTTATTGATAGAGTTTTGCTAAGCCTCACTGAAGTTACCATATCATGGAAGATAGGGGTAATCTATTGCAAGTGTAAAAACAGCCACGCTGTTTTTGTAGTAGCTTTGACGCGTCATTGTACCTGTCAGAATTTGAGGTACGTACACTATAGATGTTTTCCTTAAGACCAGTTAAACCGCCCTTAGTGAGTGGTCCCAGTTGAAGTTTAAAGTGCTTTTCCTAAGTAAGTAGTGCGTAGAGACCGTGTCCTCCACCGACTGATCGTAATAGTATGAACGTGAGTTGGTAATCATGTAGCAAGGGCGAATCAACCTGAGGAAATTCGTCAAATTAGAACACGTTTGTTCTTGACTTTGAAGTAAATCAAACCGAATAGGGGATGATATGCAAAGCCTCTTACTGACAGGCTACCTGGTGTAAGCGCTTTTCTGTTACACCTTTAGAAACTAAACAAGCGTATTCCTAATGACTAGGCCTCACGGAGACTTGTTCCCTCCATCACTTTCTCCAACACTATAACAATCATTAATTTTCTAAATTCTTTGTTTGCTAAGGTCACAGATTTGTTTCTAACACCTGAGAAGTGACCAAACTATTTTCGACTTCTTTATACTGGATGCTCCACTCAGTCCGGCTGTCACTTACTGGGAGAGTCTTGATACCTGATACAATCAAAATACAACTGTGATTCAATCATGGATCACATTTTTGGTAACGAGAATTGTTGTTATTTTGGCTTCCGCGCCGAAATTGATTGCAGGCACGCATTTGATGAAGACCAGGTCATTCAGCTGAGAACGAGCTGACGCACCAACGCCGGATAGGCCGCTAAATGCGATATGAATACGCTACAATTCACATAGGGGTCAAGCGAAAATTCACCACTGTGAACCCAAGACACTAGTCAACTGAGCTAAGCGAGTGCGGCACTTTATCGAAAGAACAGAGCCTACAGAACACAGTGAACAGCCTGATATCCGGTAACCGATTAACCATTATGCATGTGTGCGGCAGTTTAGAGATCCCAGGGTATAAAAAAGAGAAAACTGGATTCCAAAGTCTCAATATTGCCCATTGCGGTTCAAATCCATGATCATAAGAAGAGGTCAAGGAAAAATCACTGGGAAATAATCCGATCAACAAAGTGGGACCTGAATGCGTGTACAGTTCAGCGAGGCGGGTATAGCAGAAGTTCCTATCTCGTGAAGATACTCAAACTTGAAAACCGACCCAAATGAACGGAAAACGGCTAAACGGAACGGTAATTTTTCACAGAGGGTTGCAGAAACCAACCAAATATAAGACTCTGATTGAAGCGAATCTTATTAAAAGATTCTAGAGCGCTGGGATGAGAGATCCAATGTAAAAAATATTGCAAGTTTGTTCCCTGATGAATTACTGTGGTTGTCCATTCGAATTTGCACCGAAATCAAAGCTGGATGGGATCGTGGGATGGAAAACATAGCCGCCAGCTTGTTCAATCATCTTTGACTCTACAAGTGAAGAAGTGTCAACGTGAAGATAGCAAATTGAAAGGATGAACGCAGTAATTCCTCCTAGAAACGAACACTGAAAAAATGAACCAAGTCGGTAAGTCGAAATGGCGGTGCGCAGCTACCTAGCCCACCTCCCCAAATCATCAGTGAACGAAACTACGACAGTAAGAACAACTGTACGGAAAGTACGTACAGCTGAAGAATATCCCATTTATTAACAGTATTCACCTAAGTGTCCCACACAATGGGGAATTATTGTCCCCAGCAATTACGCCTAGAAGCGGTGGGGGGGGGGCGATTAAATAGACCTGTCACTGACAGCCTCACTGGCTAAACTCGTCCAGATCCATGAAGTTGACTACTTGCAAACTCACCGAACTATTGTGGAGGAGCGGTCATATGACCACAGGAAACTGGAGTTTGCAGATGAAAAATGAGATAAATTGTTCGTATACCTTGGTATTGAAAATACCAACATATATCAAATGCAAGGGAGAGAGAAAATGATTCACCTCATGTGTATTATTTCAAACACATGCACCAAGATGTTTGGTCCCTAGTTTAGTAAAGTTCGAAGCCATCTTGAATGTTACAAATATCGGGCCTAAGCTGGAGTGGTTGAGGTGTGGACGTTGAATTCGACCCACGGACCTCTGGGTCAGTAAGTTGGCGCCATAGCCACTGAGACACCTCGAACACACCCAGCTGGAATGGGAGAACTCGCCTAAATCACTCCAAAGACACTAATGAATCACAACTACTGTAAACAGACTGGATAGTATCGTGGTGTGGCGGGTTGTGCGACTGTGACCCAGCGAGCTAAGGTAAGTCCAACATTCAGAGCTCCTTACTTTACGCTGACTAGTTGATGGGGGCCTGGATCGCTCAGGTTGGGTGTTGGAACATGTACAGTGACTTGATCCTTAGAAATTTGTATTGCTGTGGCAGTATGACGGCTCGAACCAACGGCGCTGTGGTCTGATCTTTGAGCCAACTGCTTTGGTCAAGAGGCCTGGTCACTCATCTTCTAACCTAGACGCCTCGATAACACCCCAGTTCGCGTACAGCCTTTAAATTCCCGTGAAAAAATGTTTTCACGCCACAACGGTCATTCCATATTGCTATCGGCCGGGTAGGCTTACGCACTGCATACAGCAGAGCGCGGAATTCCAGGCGCGCGAGTGCTGAACCTTTCTTTCTTACACTTTCACAGTCCACGTTCTTCCTTATCCCATCTCACTGCAAACACTTATTCAGCACTTCCAATCCATAGGACTGATAGAAATAAACTTTGAATCAGCCTTAGCGATAGTTTTGTGCAGCTGTTGTCAGTAATAACTCCAAATACCTCCAATTTTCAACCCTGAAAGGTGGTTCTGAGACGTATTCAGGTGTGTGACCACCGATTTCTCAGAACTGTAGCTGAAGTCGGCTGAAACCAAAGAATCCGCAATGTGGCCAGCAAAGGAGCCTTCACTGAAGCACACGGTATTTCACTGAAGAAAAGTATTGAGAGCTGCGAACTGTGGCTGGACTGTGTCACATAAGAAGTTATCGTCAGCTGAGAAGACCGTTGTCATCTGTGCATGATTCGGAGTGGCGCAAAACAAGAGGGGGAAGGTACGTGACTGGGCGGAAGGAAGTGAAAAGTTGGGGTGGTGTTGGTGCTGTCAGTTTCTATTCAGTTTGCTTAAATGAGTGTTGGAGGTGTATGCACCAAGGATGTTTGCGGCAGGATAGCCCTAGGTTTTCTTCCTATTTTTCCTTCTATTACAGGACTTCATTCAAATAAATTACCCTAGTTGTGGAGCAGTGAAACACCAGAGTCCTCCTCTGGTGGTGCCATCAGGGATGATTGCGATTGTGAAAGCCGGTTCACTTAGCTGATTTAAATGTGCGCTGTCTGAAGCAAGGGGGACAACCGGCTGCCCATGTAAGCTGCCTCCAAAAAACAAAAATTCAGGAAACAAGTAATTTCATTAAATCACTTGCCTCGTAGGTCCCTTCGGGCGGTGCCTCTCCGGTGAGACGAAGACCGCTGTGGCTGGACAGTCCAGCGTTGATAACCTGTTGAGTCACTGAGCTCAAACAGCCGTGCTTGATTGAGTACTCCTTGGTAGTCGTCTTTGCGCGGTTCGTTTGGCTACCTTTATACGAAACGACAGTGAAAACCATCGCTTCATGTCTGTTGTATCTGAGTACGCCTCAGTGGACCGTAGCTCCGAGCCTGCGAAAGACTCGTGAGCACCGAAAGAGATTTCCACCGGGTAGAGGCTACACCAATCACAGCTTCAGAACCTACCCAGCGTTAGAGTAGCGCCATATGCGCAGACGAAACACAAACCTGATGTTCCATAACTGTTGGGATCCTCTCGATTCCGTCGAAAGATCAGTGCTCCCAAGACGCTTTCCCCACATGGATGTCTCAGAAACTCAAGAACATAATACTGTCCTTAGGTTTGCATACTTCCGGCCGTTCGAACGTGTATGAGAAGCTCCTTAAAAGCTTCACTAAAAAAGTGACGTTCAGCCATTGAAGTCAGCCTAATCTTTGAAGACCAACATTAAGCACCAGAACTGTTGAATGAACTAACCATCCTCAAGCTATCGTTCGGCATAAGAAGTGAACCTAAAAGGGTAATTTAAGGCTCATGTGCAGTCCCTGGACGTGGTCCTTGCATTTCAAAAAGAAGTAATCGATGTTGTGGGGAGTTCCATAGAGAGGTGCCTAGCTGACATTCCACTCGAGAGAAACACGAGGTCTGGAGTACTGCCAGGTTTCCCAAGCCTAGACAGGGGAATTCGAGATGCAGAAATCTTGTTGGAACCACGGACCTTTCGGTTAGAGAAATCGCGCTGTAACCACTGAGCCATCTCATCCAAGGGGAGTTTGATAATTCGGTCGTTGTGCTCTGACTGAAGTGTTTGAAACCACTAAGACCCGAATCTCGTGCCAATTTGCGAAATCTGCGGCGTCAAGAAGGTATACGATTAAGTTTATGCGATCCAATGTACCAGAAAGGGTTTTTTGTTCGTGTATGTTTGTGAGACACGCTGAATGATCTGAAGCGCCTCCAAGTTTTTGACCGGCAGTATCACGGAAGCCTTGATGGTATTCGATGGGGTAGGCGGATTTGCGGCGGGTGACTAGCAAAGGCGCTTGGCTATGCATCAGGTAATTCAACAGCGAAAAAAAAACAACCGCCACCAACTTCGATGACATGATCACGTGATCCGTATGCCCAATCGTTTAGTGAGGTTACTGCTGTTCTTTACCTCTTCCTGCGAATGGCACAAAGTGCACACAAAACGGTAAGAGAGATTAGACAGATTGATGCAGCACTGCTCCGGTCCCTCAATTCGCCCGGTTGGAAATGGTGCAAGATGGAACCGATCGATGGCGTTCAGTATTGTCAGTACTTCTAGAAGTTTCCTGATTGTGTCTGGAGGTGTACGTGCCCCGGAATGTTCGCAGGACCACTACCAGGCCACGCTTTATTTCCAGTTTAAGACTTTAAATGAGAGCAAATTTTGTATTCGTATGGCTGTAAAGCGTCAGCGTCAACAAGGAAATTGCTGGATGTCTTCTATTGCATAAACAAACACCTCGTTACAGATCCGTCGATACCACCCGATATCAGAAAGGCTTCCGGGAAACCTGAAATTAGAAACCTGAAGACTCCTCGAGTCAGCTTCCAGAGACCATCTCGCAACCATATAACAGTATTTAGTGTAGTCTAGTGCATGCGGAACGAGAAATCCACCAATATGCCATTATGAAGCGACAGGTGGCACCAGTTGGACTATTTCGGAATTTCGAGCACTGACTTCACTAAACACACTTTCGTCTGCGGTAATATAACTGCCGAGGAATGTAAAACTTCCCACAAGCTCCAGAGCTTCTCCCTGAATTCCAAGAGGCATTTTTGGAGGCCGAACATTCCGAAGCATGACTTGGCACTGTGCAGTTGCAAGGCACGTACCAAAAGATGGTGGATGTAGCGAAACCAACAGCGTCAAATGAAGATGAGCATATATCGATATGAACGGGCGATGCGATTGATCTTCCAGTCTTAGTCTTAACATTACGTAGCTGGTTAACTTTAGATGGAGATGGTCGGTGTCAAATGTACGTTTGACAACCTAGTTAACTTCTATGAAAATAAGCGAATGCTAAAATCACTTCTGTAGGAGAGTCTCCCATCCTTGACATCTGACTTGGCGTCACTGGTGTGGACGGCCTCCACAGTGTTCGCTGGTGTGGGCCAGGGACCTCCGGCAGACGCTTTCGAATGCTATGAACACGGCTTCTACCACCTTCCTTCAATAGTCATCCAGGGAGTGAACATGTGTTGAAAGTTTGTGTTCGCTAGATACAAATGACGCTCGGTGCATATAGTTGAAGATGCCCTTCACTATCTGTGTGGAGAACCTCAACCGGGACCGACTGTCAAGATGGGCTCCCACCAGATACAGTTCGCCAACTGAGCATTCACATTGTCTGTCGGAACCGCTGACCAGAACAACCGTGACACATCCCGATAGGAGCTATCTTTCTCACACTCGGAGCTGCTACCTGTCGGAACGTATGCTGACAAATAAAAGCTGTTCAGCGCAACGAGACGCATCGGTCTTAGTTGTGCCAATCAAACGTACAGCCTTAAGGAGACTAATTAGTGGAATTTAGTTCGGTGGATCGTAGTAAGCCCTAGGGCTGAGGGAACTTCTTGTGGCAAATCACAACACAGTCCTACCCACTTGGCCGCAGGAATTCTGGCTCGGATCGAGGGTGCAGTGGGCGAGGAGTTCATGTCTGACTCTTGCTGCTGCTGTGCACAGCACAAGATTACGGAGCCGCATTGGGATCACGATAAGGTTTAATTGTTTTTGACCATATTAGATAACATCCTGGAAGCCATGGTCAACTGTTTGGCGACCAGTTTGCGGTTTTACGACCAACCTTTTCTACAGAGAACTGGTCGTGGGGGAATACCGTACAAAATTGGGTTTTAGTTGTACGAACTAGTCCTCTGTGATGTACTGTTCCTCAAGAAAGACTACTGACCACTGTTTGTTCTTCTAAGCTTTCCAACTCGCTTATTGCAATATAGAACAACTGGAATCTAATCATATCCGGCAAAATGATATACATCTTCGAATAATAGTCCAGGCACCTTCGTAATGCCGTAACATCACCTTTATCTGGTCTGGGAATAATCAGATTTTTGATGTTTCTCAACCGTCCAGTGGGAAAGCCGAGTGGCGACGAGACGTGCTTTTGTTTCCAAATCTGTCTGTCTGATCGGGCAAAATGATCTCGTTTTCGTTCATAGTTTTTTTTAATGAAGGCTTTCATATCTAACCGATCATCACCAGAATTGCAAACACAAAATGTCACTTCTACCGATGAATCAGGTAAATTGTGATCTCCAACGTAAAATCAGAAAACTTGTACACACCCACCAGAATCTGTTGAAAAGTATGATAGTAGAGAAGATTCAAAGTTTACTTCTCTCGTTTTGTTACATATTTTTACGGCGTTCGCCAAACTACTGGCTTATATGGGGCTTCAAAGCAGGTTGTGCCTAGGTACTTTTTGTATCAGAGTACCATAATGTTTCTGTGGTTTCTAAATGGTTTGGTACTCGTCGCTTTATACAGAAGACGTAAGGACTAGAGATTTGCAGTAGACTCTATATCAGAGACGTTGAATCTGGATTGTATCTTTCAGTCTCCGCCAGTTACGGACAGTAGTTGACGGACTCAAGATATCCAGATTGGTCAACTGCCTATTCTTGTTGTAAAATAAGCACCTTTAAAGTCGTTCAGGTGTGACACCTGACATGCCAACGGGAGGCAAGAGGGCTGAGATACTACCAGGTTGCCTAGACAGGAGTAGAGATGCCGACGTTGGGTTCGATCCACGGACCTTGCGGTCCATAACCTGGCGCCTTAACTATTGAAGTTTATCGTGCTTAATAAGCACCCTTAGATGACCGCGGATAAAAAACCGTCTGTGCAAATTCAGATACAAAGCTGTTGCTGAGGTGGATGACTACGCTTTGAGATTAGTTCATTCTACACTTTTAAATGTACGGAAAACAAGTTGACGACAATTCCAGAAAATCAGGCCAGCGTCAGGTCTGTAGGAACCAGGATGCGGCGCACACCATCCTGTGGATCCCAACAAATGAGAGTCAATCGAGCGACTTGGATTTACGGAAAACTAACCTTTTTGTTGAATGCACTTCAGGGCCATACTGACAACCTCTTTCAGTTCCGTTTGCTGTTCACTTGTCAGGCTACCAATGAGTTGACCGTACCAGGATGGATCTGTACGCTCCAAATCGGTCATAATTCGATAGAACGTTACATATTCGTCCATATCACACTCAGGTTTGTCTAATTCGGTTTCGAAGGCTTCAAGGATGGTTTCCTCATCGTCGTCATCATCGCCGGTATCTGAGCTGTCGTCCTCCTCCTCCTAAGTTGAAAAAAAAAACAGAAAAATAAGAATGAAATCAAGATAGGTGAAGACACTAGAAAACTGCACACAATGGACAAATGAGACGAATAAGTTGGTTACTTACCGCAGCCTCCAGCATCTCCATGTACGAGGCGCCCTCCTCGTCAACCTCGTCTTCATCGCTACCTAGAGCCTTGTCTTCCAAATCTTCATCCTCTTCATCTGATTCATCTGCGGGAAACGCAAATATTTCCTATGTCCAGATGTATGCCTCAAGAATACTTTCTCGAAAAGACAAAAGTCTATAGACGGTCACCCGCATGGTTCACAGATCATGAACAAAAAAGTCAAGTCAGAAAAGACCGAAATATAATTGTATCCCGACATGTCAAACAGCTCTAATGTGTACAAAACATACCACTTTCCGCTTGATTTTTCGCTTTCGTTGCGTAGGCCCGCTTAAGTCCATCAAATAAGACAAGCAACGTGGGGAGATAGTCCTTGGCCAATGCTTCAACGGCTTGAGGGCGCTGGTCGGCTGGTAAGGACAGCAGCAGGCACAGACCCAATACACATACCCGGCGATCATGTAATCTACAAGAGAAACAGGAAAAATATGAAAGGATGCAGGCGTTTAGGTGCATAGGTCAGAAAGATCAATGTGTATACCACCGGCAGAACCACGCAACACATTGGCGCGCTGAAAATTTGAGCGATAAACCTCACCGAGACTGACGGCAAAATAAATAATACGCACATGTTGCACTGTTAGGATGCACGAATAATCGCGTAAGATCAAGTGTAGTATAAAGCGTCAGCTATCCGGTAAACGGGATGACACGAGGTCGACCCCGTCCCTCCGCCTATAGTAGTTACACCTAGCATAACCTTACTCCAGTATACGAGTATGCGGAATTGACGTCTTATTGTCTACAAGCACAAGTGCAGGTTGGAAGTGAAAAAGTGGAATCTTAGAAAAAGTCCACGACGCAGGAGAAAAAAACAAGGTAAGGGTAGTTAACCCTCCTGAAAAGTATCACATAAATATGGCTGCGTAGGTTCCAAAAAAATTGGGTTAGTCGCAGCTTTTTTGTGTTGCCTACTGCCACAATATACTATGTCTCATTTTAGCCACGACTCGACCGGTAAACGACTAACGCTAGTCAGGCACTCCCAATTAGCACGTTCATCACTGGAAAAAAGTATGTGCGATATCATATAGGGTTTCCTACTATAAACGTCTTTGAAGAGGATGAAAGCAGGGACCATCGGAAAACAGTATGGGATGGCACTATTCAGGCACTTGACGCAACTGAAAGAGGTGCATAACGCACCTTTCTCTACCTATCCACATACATAGTCGGGGTAGTCATATTATGGAGGCCGAAACCTGAATCAACCAACCAACCCACCGCTACGGCACTACTAGGCTCCACAATAACGCACTGATGATGTCACCTCGATTGGTGATGAAACGTTTGCAATAAAATTGCCCAGCTCAGCGAACAAGCCAACGACCACCATGAATCATAATCATTCAGTCGTGGTCATCATCATCAGTCGTGATGCTCTTCCGCTGCACAGCTACCATGCAACTCTAAGGGAACACAATAGCTGAGATGGTGTCGGGATGCCTTAGCACAGACAATTGCTCTGGAAAAACAAGATTTCGATATAGAACCGCAGATCGTCAGGTTAGCAGTTTCGCCCTGGAGTTATCTGGAGGTCAGCAGCTGAATCACGATAGGCTTAATTCAAAATTCCTCGCAGCACCACAATCAAAATGCCTAAGCTGTCTGGACTGATACGGCGTCGTGAGGAAAGTTCGGATAGCTCTAACCGGAGAAAATCTGAAGACACACGGTAAACTCAAAAATACAGACTAGAGGCCAAAATTCAAGGCAGACGTGCAAAAACACTAGTCAAGTTTGTGTTGAGCTCAGCGATCCACAGGTTATACATTCCATTCAGGGGTGTAGACGGTTTTCGAAAAGCCCAGCCACACGAGGCATCTTATTCCTATTGGGGATCCTTCAGTGATTGTCACAGTCAGGTCACATATTATGCAGTAATTTTCCAATATCGCATGTACCCTGACCCCTAGTGTCTTCATGCATTCTTGGCCTGTTTCAAGCTGACGGTTAGTGTGCCTCGTAGCCGAAATGAACTATGTTGAGATAGAGGACACGCATAAAAGCCTGGAGATAGAAAGCAGAACCCAACTTACCCGAGGAAAACGTCGGTATCTTGCAGCCAGAGCTTCAAAAATTCAACCAGAACAGGTACTGAGGTGCCTGGCCACTGATGTTCTACCATAACTGGTAACACATCAGACGGAGCATACAGTAAGCCGGCAACTACAACCTTTAATGTGGAGAAAGGATGAATCGTTTACAAAAATGAGTCTCCATGGTGAACTACCTACATATTCGGCCGCAACAGGCCGTTTCCCTTAACTAATTAGCCATAAAATTCAATTAAATTATTCGACTCTGGCATAACCGCTACGCAACCTGAAAGGAACCACAAACGGTCATGACGATATGGAAAGATCAAACGCCAGGCACCATAAAAAAAGGTACTGAACGCGCCAGTTCTAATATCGGGCCCGAAATCTGGTCAATCAAAGGAATGAACTGGAGACGGAAAACTGAGGTTAAGCAAGCTTATCCTTCTTTAAGGATGAGGAAACAGTAGTCTCCAATAGCAGAACCGGGTTTAATTTTAGCAGAGTGAGAACAGCGAATAGGGCCACGAAAACATGGGGGCGAAAGAGAAACTGGTGCGTCCAACACCGAACATTATTACCAGCGTTTGTTAACTGTCCCACTAATACTTCCAGTATAGGGCTGGAAGAGATAAATCACTGCTTTTTACATCTAACCTAGATATATATGAGGGCCAATGACAAGAAGTTTGTTGCCTTGATCACTCAGGACTCACTTGCATGCACATAACACGTAGTTCACTTGTGGTGATTGGACGTGTAAGACGCGTCAGGGCGAACTCAATGAATTTAGGAGCGTATTGGTTGATTTGGCCCCGATAATCAAGCAGTAACACTTCCAGTAGTTTGGCCGCATGTAGCTGAATCGTCTCATCCTGTTCATCTGACTGAATTATCTGTGGGAATGGAAATGCAGTGGGAGTAAGCTAGGTCAAGCACAGACAGTAGGTCGGAAAACAAACGTAACGCACGCGTAACGAAAAGTTCATCAGGGCTAAGAACATGAAATACTTCAGGATCAATGGGGAAAATACCAAGTGATTGCTATCGCTGGGACTAAGGCAACCCAATGCAAATCCAGGACTCAGCTACGAGTGCAAAGTGTAGGAATCACGGCAAAATTGTAGATTGCTCTCCTCTGTACTTTCGGCAAAACATGCTCAGAGCCTGAAAATCAAAATGCGCGCGGAAAACGTCGGCAAAATCTGCAAATTGAGAGGAACAAATCGCACAGTCAGCTTCATTTGAACACATCCGTCAAACAACAAACAAGTAATATGAATCGATCACATGTGCAGCAGTACAAGATAAACCGAGTGGCTTAGATAACAACTCACCTGAGAACACATTGTGGCGACGGTTTCAACTCGTTTCGGATCAGATATGAAAGCTGGACGATCAACGGTGATGAAATTGTGCAGGCAAGGCATCATCTCTAAAAAATAACGAAAAGTACGTCAGTTCTGTTCCAATTTCCCATAACTAAGTGATGCGGTCAGTCAATGGTCCAAAAACTGAAACGCGGAACGGTTTGCCAACTGAGAAAAACAGTACGTCAAACACAAGATTGTGGATAAAACCTACAGTAACCCAAGAAAGTATTGGTCCCTAGATGTGAAGATCGCTTAATACTGTTTCTCCGGTGGGCGATAAAACACTTTAATCATCTGTTAGGTATGGCTCTTAAAACCTCAGTAAAAATCAACTGCGAAAGTTTGCGTAAATAAGGTGAACTATAAACTGACAGCTAGAAATGTAAGCGAGAGAAAGGCACAAGACTAGATCGGAAACCGTGATTACACAGGAGACTTGTAAGAGGGAAATTCGACAAACCAGCAAGGCTGTGTTCAGAGGATAACCAGCAATACCAGTTGGTACCTTCTGGCTTCTACTCGTGGCGCCGAACAACCGGGACAGAACAAAAATGTTCGTACCTGAAAAGCAGTCACCAGAATCTTTTTGGAAGATACCGTAAAGCTGATCAAAAATCTGCCACATGAGCGGTGAAACTTTTGCTGTGGTCAGACAGCTTAGGAGATTGAGCGCCTCTTCGTAGAACATTGACAGGTCCCGCTCAAAGATGGTTTGTATTTGCTGCGCAACAATAGGTTCAAGCTGAGCTACCAGACCCTCGTGCTCCTCCGCTATCTGCAGCATTGATTCCATGTTGTCAAGAATGCTTGTGGCGACCATTGAGCGATATTCAAAGGCGTCTTCTGCATCACCACGTTCATCGGCTTTCTCCGAAAATCCATTTTCACCTGTTTGGACTAGCTGCATGAAGGTGAGACACTAGAAAAAAAACGGACTGAATGAGCTTCAAACGACAGGACCACCAAGTACAAACTGGACACATGATGCATAACAATGGTCGTAAACACAACGCGGTTGAGTGCGGCAAAAATAATTTTTGTCCCCATAAAGTATGAATATTGTACAAGGAATACCAAAAAGGATTGGCGAGAATAGGACAGACAGAAATCTTCAAACTCCTCGGTCAAATCACATTTTTAAACTTTGTATATATATATTATATATATATTGCAACATTTTCGATTTTGTGAAAATTCTGAACCGGATTCTGTTGTCCTGTTAATACTGTGTTGGAAGTCCTTAATTCAGACGTCTAACAACCGAAAACTTTCCACATCAAGGTCCAAACAAATAGACCACAAACGAAACTGTATCGGATAAGTTAGCATAAAACTTACCAAGTTCTGCATCAATTCCGCAGCAATAGGAACTATCTCCTTCTCAAAAGATAACATAATTCGCTCGATCACTTGGTTCAGATCATCGAATTCTGTTTCACGAAGTAACTTCAGCAACTCTACGGAATGAAAGAGAGTTGACGATAAGACAGACACCAAGGTTTCACGTTGAAAGCGTTGTTCATTTCTTAATTTGCCACGACAAAGCCCACAAGGTTGATGAAACCTGCTCAACAACTCGCTACCGATTTCGCCCCCATAAAGATTTTTGAGTAAGTGTAGTCCCTGCATTTTCGCCAACCTCATTTCCTGCAAGATTCAATTGGGCCTTCCAGGGAGACCACTTTGGTTTGCAATTGAGTCCTTAGTTCTACACAGATTCCATGAATCAAGTGAATTCATGCCGTCAGTCTAGCCCACCGGTTCTACAGTAAGCAGCAAGTAAACTGAACATTTGGCACAAAAGACACCTGACAGATATAATCATTGGGCAAAGATGGGGTGAATCGGATGTGAAGTTTTCCGGCAGCTGAAAAGGCAGAGCACCTACCCGGTAGACGAGAAATCAACAGCTCAAGTTCATATCATTTTGTTCAAACCGCCTGGGCAGCTCATTGTGGCCTTTACGCAACAGTCATCCGGCAATAAAAAGGGATATCAGGAAAAATCGGTTCATAACAGTGCATCATCCGCAGTGATTAGAAATGCCTAGCTTGTTATCGATGTTGGAAACAGTCGGGAGACGAGGCGTTTTCTTTTCTAGAGTTAAGTCAAATACTAACTGGAACATTGGATGGGTATCCTTTATATGCTGTTACTGGGAACTCAGGATGACAACTATGCAGTACTGCCGCAAATATGCCACGGACATAAGCACACCACCTCCAGCTAAGTTAAGCGAGTTCTTCGTTAGGCAGCACCGGTGAGCTGTTACTGTCTATAAGTTACGCGGCCCGAACCTACCATTCATTTTTCGACTCCAACTTGTCCGATTTAGGTGAGTTGGCGGTGCACTGAATTAGTTTCGTACTTCGCGTGGGTCGCACACTAATGGTGCACCAAATTATTGGAGACCGGCAAAGGCGATCGAATGGCTATTATGCAAAAACAGTGCACTTCAACTTAGGTTGGATCCAGTCCAACCGATAATTACAGGTGAAAAAATAAACTCACGGAGAATTAGATCCCTCAGATGCGGAGAAAGAACTTTGTGCGCTACAATGAAAAAATACAATAAATGACAGTCGGTTGTAAGTGAATAAAACGCTGTAAGTACAAACACTAAGTCTGGTACAAAAAGCTTTATTTTAAAAGCGGCACCAAAGGAAAACCGGTACTCACGGGAAAAAAGTTTGGTCAATAATGGATCATCATCATCAAAGACAGCAACAGATGCTGGGCGGAAGCTTTTACGCAATCTGAGGAAACACATTAGACGTCAGGCACTTGACTGAAAAGCGTGTCATGCATAAGCCCAAAATGGATAACCAGGCGACCCTATGGCGTAGAATGGCGGGCTGGTCGAAAGGACTTCCAGATGTGTAGACATGTTGAAATAATATATTTTGTCTCTTCGAAACAAACTTTCGTGTCGACCACAGCACCTAATAGTGCTATGTGATCGAAGATCCTCTCCAGGGAGTATTTATTTCACAGTCAGTATGCAAATAATGTTAACGATGGTTTGTTTTGATGAGACATGATCAAGGTAGTTATAAATTGAACAGGTTTCGTTCACTCACGAGTTCAGACGTTCACTATGTGATTCACCCGGATGAAAAAACCCGAGGGTTTTTTTTTACAAAGTTGAACACCACTAGAGTTGTTTGAGGCTGAAGATTCGTGCGAAGACAACCAATAGGACCTGAATTGACCATCTATTGCGTACACCTAACAGATTAAAATGTGGTTGTGGGCAACTGAATTGTTGTTCAACTTAAGATTTAACTGTCATCTTCAGTGCCTGACTTGTGATCAGTCCTTTTATTTCGATCGTCCTGGTTTGAACTGACTCCTCGAGTTCCCAGTGGTGGCTGTATCTTGTACTCAGTCACAGTCCGACCACCACGGTTTTCTTTAGAGTAGCCAAATGAAGCTTTAGCAGCTTAGGACCCGTGATAGTGACAGGTAAAAATCAAGGCGCATTAATGGTGTTGCTGTCAGTGATGGTCATGAACTGTCAATGACCAGAAGTAACAGACTGTCATGAACAGATACCTTCACAGAAATCCGTCGTTGAGTAGCACCTAGAGTGTGACTAGGAGTTTGCGATTTTATTAGGGGGTGGATATGAAATATAAAACGAATGTGGTTCAATAGCCGTTCAGCAGTTGTATTTGTCCTTGTTGAGCCACATCAAGCCGCAAATGCGCGGTTTGACATTTCCCCAGAAAAGCTATTCCTGCGCAGAACAAGTCGGGGTGGGTTTCGGTCTAGATTCTTGTTTGGCGGAACCCCCCATCAAAAGCGCTTTACTACTCACAGTTAGGGACTCTGATGACCGGGAAGCCCAGCCCACACGCAATTGGTCAGAAGATCTAAGTACTTGCGGAGCCGGCACCGAGGTGAGGATTATCCGAAAGTGAGGACCCAACAGTCAATCATGAGTCAGGGTCCGTCGAATGTTGGTTGCCAATGGCGCGTCCAAGTGTCCGAATTTCCAGAATGCTGTCGCCCCATACGCCAAAATACGAAGCGCTGTACGTATTCTTGACTTGGTTTTAGGTGTCTACCATAATCTGTGCACCCGCCGAAAAATGCCAGCTTGGGAGAATCATGTAGAGAACTGAGCTGAGGCATAACTGTTATGAAAATGATCCAGTAAGGGTGGCACTTTTGCATACATTCTGTATACTAAGGCTGATTGAAACATGGTCTACCGGCGTCAACTGGTTAAAAAGCACCAAGTGAAAGAATTACTGTAGAGAAAGTTACGCTATACTGCTATTTCCATTAATTCACTTTCACTTGTCATTTCAGCCTATACTGTGCTTATATGTTAAATAAAGCCTATCCTTAGGCGAAGTCTTCTCATTCTACTCAACGGATCAATAGTCGATTAACTAAGTCATTGACTCCCACTACAATTACAACCACCGATGTTGTTCCCGTTCACGTAGAACCGGCGCCAGCAATACGCACCTATCTCAGGGACTTGCGAAAAAGCCCTACAGTCAGAAGTAAAAGGCGTTTTTCGCGGAGTGAGAAATAACGTCAGTTGGTACACGAAAGGACGATGTATTGGATCCGGTTTGTTGGAGGCCTCGAAAGAAACCTTGGGCGCCTTCTGTCTGGATCTAGATCAAGCAAGTTGTCACTACCTAATCGGATCGCCTACCTATAATGTGTTTGCAGTTGGTGCGGTTGTCATGACCATCCATGACACCGTCACTTCGCATTAACCATACTTCGCCGTTATTTTTTGCTTGTGTACATCTATTCTTGGGCAAGTAAAGCGCTATTAATATTATACGCTATTTTGTCTTGTCCTCGGGATCAATTAGCATCTAGTCCCTATCTATAACAATGGTGGGCTCATGTCACACGGTGCTCGGGTACCGCAATGAACCTACGGGCTACACTCTCGCACTCGGTTCTTATGGTTGAGTCATGCCAGAAAAGTAAGAAGGCCGATGAGTCTTCGGTGGGATCCCAGTACGATTCTCCTTTAAGTAGGACCTCATCGACCGACAGTCCGAAGGCTGCTCAACTGCCTAGTCGCTATGTGGTGGATTGCGGTAAATTACCCTAAAACCGCTTTGTATCGCATCAGTAGGGCTGCCTGCCTGTTTAGATTGTCTTCCTCCTCATCCTCTTTTGCCCTACAGATAATTGCAGATCTTTTGGTTTGTCGTGTACTTCGAATCACTAAGTTAACCACACTCTCCAATGAACACTCCATTAGATCCGTTGGTTGTTTGGCTGCTTGCTGGTTGGAAGATAACCAACCTAAAAGTGCTCTGACTCTGAAGTACCAAATCTGTATGAGTGAACCTGTGTTGTACCGCGATCGCTCCCATTAGGCTATAATAACTATTAGGAAACTTTGCACGAATAGATCAAGTTGTCCAAAGGATATCATGTCATATTGTGCTCTCACCAATAACGGAGGAAATCTTTGCCGCTAAAACAGACCCAATAAGGGGATGAAAATGTATTTTTTTACTAGTGGTCCTTCTCAATGCACCAAGCCGCAGAAAACTGTCGAACTGACGGACAGGACTACCAGAGATGGTTCCGTGGTTAGCACTAGGAATTAATGGCTGGAATGCCCGTGATTCAAACTCAACCCCGGTATTTTGACTGCTTCCGTCTACGCTTGGGCAACCTGGCAGTGCCCATCCCCTAATGCTACCTTAGGGTGGATTGGTAGCTAGGCACAGGATGTGTGCTTCACCCGAACGATTTCATATACAGAATATTGCCACTAGGACTGATCGTAAATGCTCGAAATAGTGTAAATTGATGACGGGGTACCAACCTTGTTCTTGTGAGCGAATCAGCTCGGACAGGCATAGAGCCGCAAAGGCTCGGACCGGCAACTCCGGATCCATAAAAACCGCTTTACGTATTTCATCCACGACTTGAACCAATATATTTTGATCATTGAACTTGGCGTCCGCTAGTCTGCCTATGAGCCAACAGGCCCGAGCACGCCTATAGCCCTCCTGGGCGTGTAGCGTTGGAAGAACGTGGTTCACAAGGAATGGTTCCAGGTGCGTCTAGAAAATGGTAGTCAGTTAACGACAATTACTTTATATGCTTCTTTCTTCAGTAGCAGCTCTGCTATTGCCCCATACATATGTAGTACGGCGTCTTTCTCTGACGGGGAGCTGTCTGACGTTAGTATGTGCATACAAAAAGGCATGATATTATTCAGCACCCCACGCCGCTTTAAGCAAGCTTCTGCCAGCAAAGAGAACGCGGAGCTCGATGGATCTGACGGTCGCCCCCAGTCAGCTGAGAGCAACGATGAAAAAAGGATGAAACCTACATGCTGCATAACGGATATACTCGATCGGCTCATCTTGCCACAACTCTGCATCTTCTTCGGAGTGGGATAAGAGGGGGAAGATGACCTCCCGAACAAGAAGCAGGAAATCGTTCCGGAGTATCTTCCAGGCAAATGAATGGCCAAGTCTGGGGAACTCATACAACGCTGAAGGTACTTACGCAGCAGAAAAGTATTCTAATATCTGGCTTAAAACCGGTTTTGAAACGAAAGATTTCCGCCGGTACAATTCACATATTCCAAGCATTGCATTCAAATTGGCGGTAGAAAATGACTTCAGATACCACTCGGCGAATGGTTGGTGCTTCTTGCTGACAACGCCCGGACTCCCATACCTTCTCATCAAATTCAGTCAAATACGCGTTGCCTGACCTACCGCGTAAACAGTCTCAACAAAATTCTCACAGACCACTTCTTCGCTTTCCAAAAGGGGTGTGTTGGGTCAGACGTTTGTACGGAAAAGTCGGAAATGATCGTGCAGAAAACATCATTCCATGGACCCACAGCCTGAAAATAACAAAGAATTTCAATAGCAACTAACCTCTCTCTCCATAGCGTCAAGGGGAAAGTGAAAGTTGACGAACGCAAAGAAAATTTTCAAAATCAGTAACTGCAACATCAAGGATTCCTCAGTTTTTGTTGTGACGAGATTAGCAATCGCGGCGTGCAAGGTGGGCAAAAATTCCTTCATTATACTCGCAACCTTGTGCTTTCCATCACTTTTCTTGTACTCAAAGACCTTCACGAAAGAATAGAAAGATACGAGAGCCCCATGCCATTGGTTCTGATCTGATGTAGATAAGTAGTGTTTGACCTGGTCCGGAAATTCGGGAAACCGCGAAGGAAAGTCATGCTTTATTATTTTCGAGAGAGCAACCTTAAGCTGCGACCTAGAGAATATTATCAAACCAAAAAAGTGGCATACTGGAGAGGAAAAGGAGAGGCAACTACGGCAGCAACAATAGCGTTGCGGATCGCCTGGCGGTCTTGCTCATGTATGTTGAACGTCTCGGATTCCCCCGGTCTATCCGGATCTGGATCCTGCCACCACTCTGAAATATTATTTTTCAGGTACAGAGAGGCCGCCTGTCGTATGCTGACATCCAAGGAATTTTCCAAAACGATGTTGAGCAGAGTTGGGACAAAACCAATAATCTTGTGCATCTAGTATATTACTAGAATAAACGACTTAAAGACATGCCTCGTTCAGCAATTCCGCTGCTTTCGCCTGCTTATCCGGAAGTAGTGTGTCACCTAACGCCGAAATCACACGGTTCGGGTCCATCGCCGCGACAAACGTGCTGCAACACTGGGAGTGGTTTAGAACGCGCCAAAAAGTGGTGCATTCAAACACTGATAGTTCGGCTTTATAGAAGCTATCCAACAGGGCCCACAAAAGGGTAGGCGAGTTTCAGTCCCTCCAAGAGCTGACGACAATGTACATAAAAGAGATCAAGGTTCTCCAGGCATGCTTCGCAGCCAGTGGGTTTGAGTCTGGCAACCATGTTCATAGCTTCCAAGACAAGAAGCAGACAGGTATGCCGCAAAAGCACCTTCGGAGTCTTTGAGTCTCACCCTGCGTACAGTTAATAAGCCTTCCAACCGATGTGGCAGCAAGCTTATCAGCTCACACCTCCGGGCGCAGCAGAGATGGTGTTGAAGTGCCCATCCACAAACTGTCTGTCTTTTCAACAGTCCCCTTGCCCTGAGTAGCCGTCCAGAATTACACTTACAGAGACATGGCTCACGCCAGATGTCTCCCACGCAGAGATCTTGATAGAGGGCTACTTCATTTTTGAGCTGAGCTGAAAAGCGGGAGGGCAGGTCGGGTTGCTTTGTACTTACATGGGCCCATGCCCATCCCGATTGTCCTCTATGATACCATTTCGGCAAATTTCTGCGATGCACTGTGGATTCAAGTTCTGCTGCTGGAGGCCGATTCTCTTGTTCTCGGCCCTACCGTTGCCACTTTAGTCCACCAAAAAGATGATCGGTTTGTCTTACGAACCCTTGAGCAACTCTCTATTGATTTACCTTTTCAAACGTCGAGCTGGTGAGTAATTTTAACGCCTCAAGACCTCCTGGATGGGACTCCAGCGCATCAGGACTAGTGAAAACTTCGCATCAGCACTGACTAGCATGTCATCGCATCCAGATACCGCGCAGGTCATCTGCCATTTATGCTGAATGCGGCCATCAACAACGAGAGACACTTTGTTGATGAAGTTTTAATTAAAGCCCCACTGTGACACAGAGACCAATGAGCGCTGACGTCTGGTTTTATCTGCTTTTGGTCCAAGAATCTTGAACTATAGACGTTGATTTGGAACATCTGCCTTGTGGACTTGAGCAATCAAAGTTGAGATAAGCGTTAATGGGAAATTACACATAGCCATTTTCCGGAGAATTCACGAGATTGATACGACATTCGTCTCGAAACACATCGAGCCGCCGGATGAATCAATGCTACCTAAATGATTCAGGGTCTTCTTAAAAAGAGATCTTTACTATTTTTCCAAAATATAACTGCGAGGTACAAGTAGGACGGACTGGCGTTTCGTAAAATGCTCCCCAGGGGAACGGTCCAACCGTCCTACCCTCGAAAGGTAGAAACGGGGACCGCGCAAGTGACCCTAGAATAGTGTGTGAAGTTTGCAGAAAAGAATATGCAGGATAGTGTTCAGCTCCAGCTACTTTTTCACATTCACTATTATCTATAGATGACTACGAATGGTCTCCACCAAATATGGAGGAAGACATTTGCCAACTCTTGCGCAAGACAAACCTCTTCGGCGCGTTGAAGTCGGGCTAGGTCCGTTAGAGGATCCTGACGGAAAGGTCACTCACGCTGGCAAAATATTTCTCCCTGGTATTTCGCCAGTCGTGGGACGAAGGCAAACTTGCTTCTGTCTGGAGGGAAGCGATTTTTACGCCAATATACAAACCCTCTGGCTGACTATCGCCGGTAGCTGTGGGCCCATTAGTCTTACTAGCGTGTCGTGCAAGGTGATGGGGCTCATTCTGAAAAGGCCACCAATACTCTTCTTACTTCCAGCAACCGTTTATCTCCAGTTCTACATGATTTCATCTCAAACCTTTCTTGCTCGATGAACATGCTCGTATCTATGGGCTGCTCAACACAAGCTAAGGACAAGGCACTCTCGAATGTATTCTATGGAGTCCTACGCATACCAATACTCCACAAACTCGAGTTTCGCAGAATTCAAGGTAAAAATCTACGTTGCATTCAAGCATTCCCATCACATAGAACATTCCCAGTGAGAGTGGGCTCAACCTGCTCTCCTTCAATGCTGGTCTCCATTTGGGCTCCTCAGTTCTCCGTGTTGGGCTCACATCTGTTCCTGATCTACATCAACTACCTTTCAGACGTTATTCCGAGTTCATCCATACTTTTCGCGGACTACTTCAAATCCTGGAGTTTCTATGCAAGCATTCCCAAGTGAACGTAGACTTCAATGTAGTGACCGCTTAGTCGACGTCCCCCTCTGAATAGTGAATCGTGCGTCAATTTTTCTTTCATAGAAGACCCAGCAAACGCCTTTGTCTTGCTTGGTGAGAATATTCCAGGAGACATTACGAGGATAGATATTTAAATGCATTTGGGTATCTGGCTCCCTTCACGGCATCATGGAAAGTCGTCTCAAAAGGCATTCGCCATTCTACGGGTGATTCGGCAGACCTTCGCTTATGTTACTCACATAAGCCTTCAAACACTTTATGGACCTCACGACAGAACACTTCTTGAATATACAAACCAATTTGTCTACTTAGGACGAAAGAAAGATGCGAATGCCAATGAGCGTGTCTAATGCTCTGCATCACATCCGTCTAACTTTAAACGCGTCCCTTGCACCTTGGATCATTTTCGCTCACGATAGCACCTGATACTTACCGCAACGTTTGTCACAGGTTTTTCACCTCTAACTTAACTGACGCACGATGGGGACAGTGATATTTTTTACCTCAGAGCGCACACATTTATTGGGCAAAATTTCCTCATTTCGGATAGGTAGTGTAGCCTTCCACGACGGTTGTTCACGCTGTAACTCGTGCCCAGTTAAGAGCACTTTTAGTTTCGTCCTCGCGTTTACAACAATACTGCTTGGGGCTGAGAACATTAAGGGCAGTGCCAAACGCCTTTTCACTTGTGCCCCCAAGACTAATTAACAGGCGAACACTTGCCGGAAAATTTGGATGAAAGTCTTGATCCTGCGTATACGTGAGAGCAGACGCAGAGGTTCAACGAGGACTGTACTTCCTAATTCTTAAGTGAATAACTTTATCGGCACATTCCAGAACTGGTCTCAAATCGACGAGACGGGCTATGTTGATGTCTAGTCGAATGATACCGATGGGGTGCACGGCAATTCCCAAAGAGCAACGAACGGCAATTTTCGTAATGGAGTGAAAAAAGCACTGAAGGACGTCCATGCAGTGAAATATCAATGGCTGATTCTGGACCATTCTCACTACCCACGATAAAGCCACCTGTCAGGTTCCCTGCGAATGGCATGCAGGCAAAACTTTTATCATTACGAGGAGATTGCTGCTGCTATGGAAATCGCCTGAAACGGTTTGTTTACAAGGATGGAGCCTTAGTCGGAAGTATATTCTAAGGGGATAAAACATGGACGAAAAGCCTTCATTTCGCTACTAGTAAACTGAGTTAATGGACGAAGATTATTAGATAGCCTTGCTTTCAAGCGAGCCCTATCGTCGGGTCCTGCACTCTGTGCAGCATGAAATCAATACGATGAATCAATACGACGGTCAAACAATTTACGGGCAAATATAATCGTGTCCTGTGAACAGGTTTTAAAGTAACCTAACTAGGCTATACCAAGTTATGCCACACGTATAGAATGCTGTCATGGTCTGAAACCATGAACAGCAGATTATTTTGCAATTTTCAAGGTAGTTTAGTCAGTTACTGTTGATACGGCATCCAGCAGACTATGTATGAGGGGCTGACCTTCATCCTGTCCTCTGGAACGACCACAGGACAACATGATAATTTTTGCCGAGTGATACGCAGCTTTCTCTTCGCAAGTTAAGGTGTGATGTAAATCAGGTTAATTGGTAGTTGGCCGCTTGGTCGTTCAAACATGTCACCTCTGTGACCTCCAGTTATTTCGTAGCAATTCTGACCAACCGACAACTTCCAGTAATGTCGGCTTGCTCATAAGACATTCTGCCGCGAAAAAGATGTTATCCTCGGGGTTAGCTCAGATTAGCTCACAATCAAGCGTACTTTTTAATTTTATGATTTTGAAGACGTAACTTTGCTTCCACTATATCAGTAGAGGAATTTCACGAAAGAAATTAGTTCAGTGAACAAGCAATTGTAACTATGCAGCTAACGTTACCCACTGGTTATCTAATGGCCTTGTCAAAAAACGATCACGATCAGTCAGACAAGCAACTAAATATTAGCCCCTTCTGTTGCGAATGAGAGCTAAACAAATCATCTATAGGTGGGAGGAGAAATTTCAAATTACACAATGACTAATTATTAGGAGAAACAGTTATAAACGGATCTGGACTCATCATCATTATAATTGTCAGCTGTAATAGCCGCATACTCGTCGTACAGTGGATTTAGCTGCCGCAGTTTCGTTCACCGATGATTTCGGAGGAGAGGTAGGTAGCTGCGCGTTGCAGGCGGGAGCTGATAAATTGGTGCATAAATCCAGCACTGTCAGTGGGCTGTCAAGTGGGGGGTGGGTTGAAAAAGGAGCTATGCATTGAAGCCAATAGCTTGGATGCACGAGCGCCATTGAGGGCGCGACTGGGCCATATCTGACAATATCTCTAGCCAATAATGTGAACTGTCTAGGGGTCCCCACCCAAGAAGACGGCAATGACCAGCACATCTGAGTTTGCTGGTAATGGCTTTCATACTTCTCTGCCAAGTCATTGTATGACCGCCTCTAGATCTCTTCCATCATTCACGTGGTCGTGCGAAAAGAGCTTTTCGAGGAAGTCGATCGATGGGCATTCGCAGAGTGTGGTCAAGCCAGCGCAACTTATGCAGTGTGGTCAGTTCATCTATCGAGGGTGAGTTATTTCTCCCGAATACCATTCGACGTACTTCAGAATTGCTGATCCGGTGTTCCCACCAGATTCAGGCAATGCTCCGAAGACATCGATGGTCAAACACTGA